TTCTCTTATTACTCTTAATAAATATATAGCAAACATTTATCATGTTGTAGACCTATATTAATAATGTACAATAATGAAAATATTCATTAGGCCTATAAAAAAAGCAAGCTTCAATAATGTTCCATGCTTTGTTTCTGAAACAACAATAATAAATTATCATCACTTGTAGAACTTCACACTGGAATTTTCTGGAGCAGATGAACATTTATATTATTGTATATATTTTTATAACCTTTCTACTGACACTTGTCATTTTGATGGTACTGTTGGTATAACTAACATTAACACTATTCTGTTTACAAAATTATGAAACAAATTCAGTAACAATTCTCAAGGTAAAGCATCTTACAGGAGACCAAGCTAAGTGTGTGTAAGGTGTGTTGAAATTTCTCAAAAGCACACAGTGAGTGCAGCTCTCATGGCATGACCCAGTTTTCATTACCTTGCTCTCACTCATAGTAAAAAAAATGCTATAAATAGAAATAGCACTTTTAAAAAATGGTGGGGACTTTCAAAACTTCCTTTAAGTTAGCTCTGAGTCAGTCTCCCCCTAATTATCAATGAGTCTTTTGGCAATTGATTAAACTAAACATAAATGTAAAATAGATAAAAAGGAAACTGTACATGTTCATTTTGTATGTTAAAATGCAATCTACTTTTTAAACTTTTTTATTTTTACTTCATAATTTTTATGAGTCAAAAAAAATATATCATTTATTTTCAATTGTCTACTTTTATATTTTGAAACACAACAAATTTTTTTTTTTTAAATGTTCAACAAAGTGTCTGAACCAATTAGTGAGCCTGTATTGTCAGAATGGGAATAATAGAGTGCTTGTTTATGTAACAACCTGTTATTTCTTTTTTCACAATAAACAAATCTGTGAGGAATAATATGATAAGAGAGAATTCTAAGAGATGGATACAATACACACAAAACACAAGAAAAGCCTGCAAACCCCAAAACAATGAGTGTGTCGGCAAAAAGCCTTCTTCAGTGAGCAAACAAATGACAACAAGGAAAATAAATTAAATGAATAAACTCAGCTTATATGGTAACAGCAAGACAGCTTTATTCCTGACAATAGTTTTTCTCAACAAAAAGCTATGCTAAGATAATAGTAATGAGATATAAACAATTTTGGTAAATTAAACGCAAAATGTTTCCGCTAATACCCTGTCAGTACAACCAATATCTTTATAAAAATAAATTTAAATTTATGTATGTATTTCCTACCTGTTACTATTAAAAAAAATGAAATAAAAATAATAAGAATGATAACAAGTCCCTAATCATGCCTAATGAAATCAAAGAACAGAAGAATGGAAAGAAAGTGGGTGGAAGTACAATATAAAAAACAAACAGGAAAAGATATTGCAGCTTTTTAAAACTGTGATTTTTATTTATACTGTATTGAGTCAACGTTCCAAATCTTTTTATTAATTTGTTTTTTATTTTAATTCTATCGGGTTTATTATTTGCATACAATATAGAAGTAAATGAAATGTCCAAATTCCTTTGTGATTAAAAACAGTTGAAATATTTAAAAAAAGGAAAAAGGGCTTGTTTATTTATGTTGTAGAAGCATTCTCTTAAACAGTCTCCAGGGCTAATGATGACCTGTCTCCCCTAGGTATGATGTTCCACACTTTTTACAAAGGATGGCTTAAATCATAATGTGACTTTTGCAAGTAAAACCATCTTTCATTCTGAATATTTCCTGAGGGAAAGTGATTTATCAACTTCAATTAGATAGGGAGATATAGTTACCACAGCTTTGGCTGCAGCTTTTGGTGCCTAGATCATATGCTTTAATAGCAGGGAGGTGACTTGTCCCTAAGGCTCTTGTCCCTCCAGAAAGCTACCTCATCAAGCTACCTTAAGTGAGTTACTGAATGTGCTCATTGTGTGTTGACACATTAAAATTTTGACAGAGCGTATCAATTACTTTTATGAAGACCTCAACAAGAATTTCATGGACTTCCATTTTAGTGAATGTGTGCTGATGAAATAGCTTAAACAGACTCAAGAAAATTGAGTTAATTCACATTGCTTGGTTTTAAAACAGGAATCATTCAATGTGATGAAAAATCCAACCTGCTTTGATGAAAATATAAACAATTTTAAAACCACATTTTTGACTTACTTGAGATGAAACATTTTTTGTGTCATGTTTCCACAGTTGCAAGTCCGACTTAACTGCCACTGATTTTTTTGATGAGCACATCTATGATTTGTAGCCAATGCCAGTTTCTTGGAAAACATAATTGGTATCAATCTCAGTTATGCACTAGTTCATATCCCAAACAGAATTGATAATTTTCATCGGATTCTGAAATTTTAAAATGTTAAAACTATTTTTTCTCATAAAAACTCTGGAAATTAGATTTTTAAGTGGTTAAGCTACCAAATTTTTTTTTTTTTAAATTAACTGACTTAGAGCAACTATTTGATTATGGTCATGTTAAGCTATGAATAGAGATGTATTTTCATGCTTTAAAAGAAAAAAATATATATAATTGCCATGGCAACGACAGCCATCTTGAAAATTAAACCCATTCGTAGAGTTCTAAAATTTTAAAAACAAAAACATACATATTGCTTAAAAAATTATTGATTCATGAACTTCAAGTATATTTAGAAGTACTGAGCTAGTTTAATTTTGTTCAACCTTTTCAAAACATTTTTTTTTTAATTTTTAAAATTTGCCTCGGCAAAAAATGCTTAAAATTTAGCATCATAGGAAAATAACTAAAATTATTTTTTAAAAAGGAATGGACCAAACTGACTTTTGAATAGCTCATTACCCACAAAATAGTTAAAGGAAGATACACACCAAATTTTATTACTCAAACTTGTATATTAGCTGAGATTTTAGAATTCTACGTTACAAAACAACAGAAAAAAACAATTTTGAGAAAAATCAATTTTAAACTTTAAAAGTGAAACATTTAAAGTTTTTTCTGAAAATGAAGTTCTTTTATAAAGATTAATAGCTAAAAAATATACTTATAGTTATAGTGAGCTGCGTTATACATGTGTTTGATTCATTGTACAGCCTGATATGTATGTTTAAGGATTAAAGTTTACATTTTTATTGGAAAAGGACTTGCGTTTAATTTGGTGTGATTATGATGTATGAATGTGTGAAAGAATTTTATGAAAGAAACCAATCATGTATGGATCAGTGACTTTCATGTACTAAGATCTCAGTCGATAATTCAAAAATATTTTATAGAATAAATTGAATTTTAAACAAAAACTTATTTTTAAAGAATAGGAAATAACCCTGAACACAAATTGCTTGTTATTGCTCTGTAGACCTATTTTTTTATTGAAATAGAATTTGTTTAAAAATAGATAAGTAACACAGTGCAAATATAGTTAATAAAACATTTTGTTTTTCCAACCAACATTTCATATTTGTTTATCACATCTTTAAAAGATGTAAAGATTTTTTGAAGTTTAAAAAAAAGATCTTTATTTTATTTTAATAATTTAAGGACACCAAAACCCATTCATCTTCATTCATTTTTAAATGTTGCCTTGTAGTTATGACAATGATTATTTATGTTATAAAACTGCCATGATCATACATAATTTAAAAAATATAGTGACCTAGTGACTCTATGGTGAAGCTTTTGGCCAGAGACCAGAAGATTACCATTTCAAATGCGTAAGTGGTGACTCACAACCCTTTGCAAAAAACTTCACTTTTTGTATGCCTTACAAAGGGCAAATAGTTACAAACAGGTAGAATGCTCCCTCGAATCATCTGCATGGTGCAGTAGCTATTCTTATATAATATAATTATATAGGAGTACATATTCAAAACAATGAAGTATCAGAAAACAAATTGTTGTGCGATAACAAATGTGTCACCTTGTCTAAAATGGTATTTGGTGAAGCTGCCCTTGATCTTTTACTGGTGATGCTGCTGACATGTAATTGTAATGTGGATGTTTGTAATCATCATTATTGTCACTAAATTGTTCGTAAATTCAAATGGCAATGTTTTTTATAACGTAGGCTGTAAGCTAGCATCAGTACTGTAATTCACTGAGGTTAAATTGATATGCATAATTATAAGAGTTAGTTATTTATGATAGAAGCCCAAGTGTAGACGTGTAGAAGTAAGATTTTAAACTCCAAGAGTAATAAACAAAAAAGTATATAATAATATAATCTTTAACTTTTAACCATAGATAATATAGACTAGTTATTCCTAAAATTATAATTAATTTTACCTTTTACTTTTACTGGATAGTTATAATTATAATCAATACGATTTTATTTCTAAACATAAAATTTTAGTAGTCATTTCTGTTGTTATGGTGGAAAGTAAACAGCTCTCTTGCATTTGAGGAAAAAAAACAAAGTTTTATTTTTTTATTATTTTTTTAAAAAATCTTTTACAACGGCAGTAGAAATAAGCATCAAAATGTTAAATTTACCGACATTTAAACATACCGGTAGCAAGCAAAGAACCTGAAGTTACGTTTATTATGGCTTTAGAATTTGACTTCAGCTTTATTAGGCAACAGGGCTTACCGGCAACAGTTGATCCTACTCCTACTGCATGCTGAAGATAGCGTAACGTATCTATCCATCGTATATACATAATAAAAAATATATGAATTTGTATTTAACTATTTTTTCATTTAGATCAGTACTTGAATGCTACTGAAACGCTCTATTTAAAAAAAATTAAGTTTGAAAAATCCAGTTCATGATTCATAATGTAGACGTACAACCAATGTGCATTTTATTGAGACGAAACAACGTTTTCGCGTTCCGAGAGGAAATTTATCCGAACTGACACTAGACGCTTGAACGCGGACCAGAGATTGATAATCCCTGCATGAGAGCGAAGCACAAAGTAAATGGTAATATTTCCCGTTTTCATGAGAAGCAACTCATTTATATTGTGTGTAGGTTGATAAGTTGCATTGGTTTCCCTTAGTCCTGCCGGTGTGTTCTACATACATGACACAGCAAACTTCCATGAACCATGGAACTGCTTACAGAAGCTTAAAATTTGTTACAGTTACAGTTTACTATCAAGTGAGTAGAACAGTAGTCCTGAGTAGTATTTGAGTAGTAGCCTTTCTAAAAAAAAAAAAGACTGAGACGAATTACACTACACAGTTCTCCTTTTACTATTATTATTAAATTTGTATTATAATTTATTTATAATAATTATTTAAGTAATAATTTTTTGTTGAAGTAAATTTGTAAGGCTAAGGCCTAGCCTAGAAAAACTAACCCCTCGCCTAGTAGCTCTTGAGTATAATAAGTCTTAGTTGAGGTAGTTTGTAGTGAAGACTGTTTTTAACTGTGTAGTGTAAGTTGTGCATTAACTCATTTCATTAACTGTGTGTTCAAAGTTCAGTCCTTGAAATTGCATGAGTTGCATCATTTTCATGTTTCCATTATCATATCATATGCTGTCTTAGTAGTCCCAAGGCCTACTAGTCTAGGTCTATTTTATTTATTACACTCCTACCTATGACTATACTTTATACTTATACAGTATACAATTATGAATGTATAAATTATAAGTGTGATATTAATGTCAATAGCTGCAATATTTTGATCTTTTAAATATTATCCTCAGTCCTCAGTATGGAAGCTCTGCTAGAATTATCTCAAGCTAGATTGCATCCATCTAATGTGAAAGAACACAAACTGTTAGCAGAGAAAGCAGCACAGTTAATTGATGATCATGGCTGGAATATATCAGAAAAGGTTTCCTTGCACATGTCTTTTAGTTCAAAGAACCCATTATTCGAAGCATGTCGTACTGGTAAAATTGAATTAGTCAAGGTAAGGGCTACGCTACATAAATTTATAAATTTTACTACAAGGGGATATAATTTAATCTAATATTTAAATATTCTATACTGACTATAACCACACTCACGCTTACATCCAATGGCACACTCACTCGAACACTTCTGTTAACACAGTTACTATAAGACTATATGAATACAGGTGTTTCAGCCCACAAGTAATAAATATTTAATTACAAGTAAAATGATGATTTATTAGATAGAATTATAAAAAAAACTTAAAATTAATCAAGATGATGTTTATAAATACCATTTGGCTAAGGTTGAGTTTTTCAAAGGGCTAATGATAATGTGTTTACCTCATTGCTGAAAATTATTTTCTGATTGTGTGTTTTGATTAATATTTCAGGTATTTATCGATAGAGGAGTTAGCCTTAATGTCATAGATCACGAAGGAAATACGCCCCTTTTTGTTGCCCTTTCTTCCCATTTAAACAGCAGAGAAAACATTTTAAAGTTGATAAGTTGGGGAGCTAATGTTAACCTTCACAGACATGGAAGATACCCTCTGTTGTGTGCCTTTTATGCCATGGACAATGAAGTGAGTATGCTAGACTAAACTTAAACCAAAACTTTAAGATTGATGAACTTACAGCAGCCCTGGAAGTTATTCTGTATGGAATTTTATTACAATGAATTGCAATTCTCATTTTGTTCTGCAATTCCATGGTTACAGCAGGGGTCGGTTCATGTGGGTCTCAAGATTTTGATTTAAACTAAAAGTTTTTAAAAAACTATTATTAAAATATTTTCTGGCATTTCACCTTAAAATAATGATAATCTTAATATGAGTAAAATATTCCCAGTCAAGATGTAATAAGAATGGACTGTTTGTATGTTAATGTTAATAATTCAGATACCTGCCAACAAATCTAATTTCCTTTTTTTTTAATATTTGAAGTTAAAAGGTCTTTCGGGAAATTATCTCTTCAATATCATCTCTTTGCCCAGGCCTTTGTTTTCTATATCTATTTGTAATTAAAATATATAATTATTCTACAGCATACTTTCTGAGAAATTCAAGGTTCCTCATTTTATATTATTCCAGCCCCTTAATTCTAAATTCTCCTACACATTACAGTTAATTACAGACTAGCAAAGATGCATTAATTTTTATAATTATGACTTTCTAAAATTGATGGCTCACTTTCTACAGTTTACTATTGTATTTTAAATAAATTAAAGACCTCTGTTCTAATACATTTCAGACAACAAAACTTCTGATCCGACATGGAGCTGATGTCAACAATGTAATCCTGACCTTGTTCTGTTTTGTGGAGTCTTTATTTGCTTTCAACACTGGAATGGTGATGATGGCAGCCGGAGTCAAGTTCCACATGCACAATTTTAAGGAGCTGCTGTCATTGGGTTCAGAAATTATTTTAGCCGGTCTCCTGCCTAGGACATTTTATCTGTCTGGGAAAAGATTTCTCTTAGATGGCATTACACCAGAGGATATGGCAGACCTCTGGAACTTTCAGTACCTCTGTTTAATACTGGGATTTAGAGTGGAAAGCTACTGCTTGCAAGATGCAATAGATATGCTGATGAAAAGTTTGGGAACTGAAACAGACCAGTTGAAATCGAAGTTAATCAGAGAAAGACTTGAAAAACTTGGCTGGACCAGGGAATTTTTATCTCAGCCTCTGCCACTGACTTATCAAGTTCGAATAGCTGTTCGGCGGCATTTGGTGGCACCAGAAGTTAGCAGAGGACAACATATCAATAAAAACATTGATAAACTGCCTGTACCAACCTTGGCCAGAGATTTCCTGTCTCTAAAATTATGTGGTGCTCATAATGCTTGTGTGTCTATAAGATAGAACCAAAGGTTAGGCTGTGATATGTGTAGAGGCAATGACTCTGTGAGCATAGACTTTGAAAATGGCAACTCATCTTTTGATGACTGAACTTTGTGTAAGTGTGAACAATCATAATGTGATAGAGATGTTACAGTGCATTGACTGTTTAAATAATTTTATTTAAACAAATCCTGCTATGTTGGTCTTATAAATATTATTGATGTTGAATGATAATTGTAATTATTATCATACATTTTGAAAATGATTATAATCTTAGCATGTTACTTTTATTATTTTGAGGTTAAAATATAAAAAAATTCAAGAATTTTTAAAGATCTGTTCTGTAGTGACCTAATATATTTCTGTGAAACCAAGAAAACTGAGAATTGGTTTAAATTTGGATTCTTAAGTCTGATTATCAGTTTATTAAATAATTTATTATCATATGTAAGTTTTTTTTTTGAAGCAGTATGCAACACAATGTTAAGTGTTTTCATTAAATGTATGGCTGCGAGTGTAATTATATAATTTCTTCCTATATATTCTTTTTTTTAATTAATGGTGAATGCAAAGATCAGTAATAATGAATAAGGAGTCTAAGTCTAAAATTATTTTGTTTAAAATCTCTTCAAATGTTTATGTGGTGTATGCCTTTTTAAACCTCTGACTCTGACCTTGTCTTAGATATTTCCATAGGGAGTAGTCTGTTTTATCTATGTCTTAAGCTTTTTTTTTTTAAATATGTTAATATTTTTACTGGTGATAAAATTATCTTATTTTTCTTGTTTCTTTGTGATACATGCAGTGTAAAAAATATTCTGTGATAGAAGTTAAAACAAAAAGTTTTATATGACTGAGTTCTAGTGTAAATTTTAGCAGAAATCGGAATGGCTGTTATTGATTTTTCAGTTGTTTGCTTGCATTATTATTTTTTTATTAAAAAAGAAAAGATTCTGATTTTATTTACTATTTATCTGACTCAAATTATCAAATTTACTTTAATTGTAAGTTGTCTTATAACTTAACTGTTGACTTTTTAAAAATGTGTGCAATGCTTTAGTAGTTTAACTTAACAATTTAAGGCCAGTTAAGAATATGCCTTGGTTGCAACATTTCTATGAAATGTTTATTCTAAATATAAGCCACCTTTTTCTTTATATTTAAAGCTTTAGTTCTATGAGATGAATCACATCTTTATCCAAATAAAATAGCATTGTGGAAAACTGCTATAATTACTATTTGCAGTCTGCTCTAATTCTCTTTCAAGATTAGGAATTAAATGTTCTGTGTTAGACTAACCATGAATGGTCTCCCTATTTAACTCGGATGCTATTTATTGTCCTTATACAACTTATACTTAAATAGTACTGGTACAATTTGCAGAGTTACTTTTACTTGCTGTAAAAAATCCCTGGGTATCCAATTTGAAATGTTTTGATATTGTACATTATCATTTTACTGTTTTTAAAAAGTTTAGCAGTTAGGTCATGCACTTTTACAAGATAAGTAAATATGTATAGAAATAACTAATGTTAATGTTATCTTAGAGTATAATTTTATTTGTATTCATTTGTTCAACCTAGTGCAAATGTTTTACTGTTTATCATTTAAAAAATGTAAAAACTTGCAAAATCTGTATCTTATTGATAAATAAAATAGTATTCCTGGCAAAAAAGGCTTTGCAATGCATACCGTATTACTTTGACAAGTTTTTAAGTTGTATATTTTATTTAATAAGTTATAATACATGGCAATAAACTAAATTAAATGTTTGTGTACACAAAATGTTATCAGCCAAAAGAGTTTCTGCTTATTTTGTTAATTTGGCCTCAAAAGTCCTATGACTACCAATGCAGCTCAATGAGAAAAGCTAAGCATTGAAAGTAAACTTAGAGAACCCATAGTTATATCAACACCAACAATTTTCAGCGGTTTGAAGATGCTATTGAATATAGTTACATACAGGAGCTTCTACTTTGAGTCCTTCAAGAGTATAACTTTAAAAGCAGTTGCTTTGACTTAATTGACATAACACACAAAATGCAGGAAAGAAAATTAACATTAATTTATTATAATACCAGATACCATTTTATGACAAATGTTTATACATAACAGTAGCAAAAGACATCATATTTAAATATATTACTTTATTCACTTCCTTGAGTTTATCATTTTAAAAAATGAAAATTTAAAAGAAACAACTGTGCTTGTTTTGATTGCATGATGAACTGTTACTGTAAACATCCCTAATATTACCTTTTCTATTATTACATTGACACAATATACATTATAATTGTTGGGAGGGGGGGGTGTCATTGGCTGAATTGAAAGATATTGTTTCAAAATCTACAAAGTTTAGAATTAGTCTCTTATTAAATACTTATATTTTGTTAAAATGGTTTTGAACAATACAATAACATTTCAAAATGATCTTTTATGTTTTTTTGTTGTTGGTTAGCTTATTTTAAAAAAAAGGAAAATCCACAACACAATATAAACTGTTAATTAGTGATGTCCGTGCTTTTCTCCTGTGTTGGTTAGTTTGTCGTAAGCTATGGTCAGGGCCAACGCTACAGCAGCATATCCAAATCCTCTAAATGTTTTTTGCAGTCCAACACGAACCATGCCTGCACTTCCACCATTTTCAGGATAATATCTCCAGGCTTCATTTCTGTCAAGTACAAAGAAGTTTATTTCAGTGTTACGCATAGTTATGGTATATTGAATAGGGTATAGAGTTAATATATAAAGTCAGGTTGATGTAAAACAAACAAAATTAATGTATTTATCTCTACCAAACAAATCTGCTGCTGCTGGTCGCAAGCCAGGATAAAAGGAGTTAGGTTTTGTAAGGCTAACAATCCCCCCTAAAAAAACATAAAAATAAAACTTGGTACAGAAGTTCCAAGTTGATATTCCAGCTTGTGAAAAGATGATGTCTAACAGGTGAACTTTTGAAACTATCATACCGTATACCCAAATCTGATCTGAAGGTGGACATAGGATAGAAGGAACTATACCAGAGACTATACTAGCATGGGCGCCCGCAGAAAACTTTCTGGGGGGGGGGGGGGG